TTAAAAATACTTGTGTCCCCCCACCTCTGAAATCAAAATTTCGTCCTTATGCCTCACTATTAGTTAAAAGGTTCCTGATATTGGAACTGGTCGAGATTAAATGTATTCATTAATACTTATAGCAACCCCTACTGGCAACAGGAAATGACATATTTTACACTTTGATATAGTACTCCTACCAGGTTGATCGGTTCCAGCTGAAATTTGGTCAAAAGACCCCTAAGACATTGATGATGATATGTTATGAACGTGGCGACGTGGTAAATGTCAATGCTTTGTTTTAACAGTTGATTGCATCTTTGAGGGGCTAAACATAATAAAAAAGCATGATGGGTATTGTGCAGGGGGTGTGGCAAAATGGCTTGATACAACTACAAACTTTCCAGAAAGTAGGTCCGGTTTCCCGCTTCACCGAGATGTATGTAAATCGGTTGGCAAAAGAGCCAAACACGAAGTCAACCATTTTGAATTTAATGTGCACTGGAACTGTACTGGAAGTAAGCCTTGCATGGAAATGATTGATTTACATTAAATTCTCATGGTGTTGTCTACACATGATTAACCGGCACATGACTTAACCAAAGCATGCACATATGCATGGACTGTTAGAGCCCATTCATTGCTGCAGAGAGAGTGAATCAGGGCAGAAATAGTAGTTGAGGCAGTTGTTTGCTAACAAGTTGTCTATATTAACTTTTAAGGGTGGTTATAATTTTGTGTTGTTAAAAATCCATTAACACTGCTTTAAATTAGTCTATAATAACAATGTACTTGTATGTGACAATGTGGAATGAGTGCCACAGCTTGGCGACCCCCATGCTATGGGATACAGAGTAAAAACTAAGCTGATCTCCCCTCTTGAGTTTCATCTTGTTTCTCATTTATTTGTTTGTGTTATCTCTGTGCTTACAGGTGATAAACCAGCAATTCTGGTCGTGATGCATCACACCTTCAACCCTGACCAAGTTCTAGCTGAAAGCAGAAAACTGGTGAACAACCCCAATGTTAAGGTTACTGTGGACTGTCTGTTCTATGAGGACAAACTCCTGAAGTCCAACCGAAATGATACTGCATGGCTTGATGTCCAGAAGTATCTTGTTTCTGCTTCCCGGGTAAGGACTAGATTTACTGATCTAGTATAATCACGCAATGCATGCAGAGTGCACTGATATTGTGATTATTAATGGATAAGGGATCATTACTGTAGTCCACCTCTGAAATTATACACATACGTTTCATTATTACCTACACAATTATCTTTTCTTTCTTTCTTTTAGGCCTTTACCTTCCAAACCGGCAACAATGGCAGCAGCTTTCGTGTAGGCTTTACCACATCAGGTCCGTATTTTACATAGGTGTTTTTAATCTGTCATCTAATAATAATTGTTACACACATAAACCTTGGACACTGAGTCTGATGCGTTTTTACTCTTATTTATTTTAATTTACAATCTGATACAAAATGGAGATGTCAAGCAGTGAGGATGAGTTTGTGGTCCTCTCATTTCTTGAAAGTAGAAAAAGAGAATACTGGGTTCATCCAGTGCTGAGAGGGCTTCACTTGCTGCTAAAGTGGTGCTCACTGCGGAGCCAAATGGGTAGAGCTAGGGACATGACTCGTCCGACTGACAGGCACTGCCTTCGTTGGCTGGGTTGGTTAGGTTTAGGCATGATAAGGCCTTTGCCATCCTAGGACAAATTGCTTTTAATCACTGTACAAAAGCACAACTTTATAACTTTATTCTGTGTTTTGGGTGAAACTGCATCATATTTTATGGAGAAAATATATGCTTCTCTGTTCTCTGGCTGCTCAGTTTAAACTGTCTGTGATTTACAGAGTTTCCTGATGAACAAATAGCTTTAACTTACCTGTTGCCAACCACTAATGGTAACTGCTGCTAACTGTAGCTGTCGTTAGTGGGCAACAGAACCAGGCTCAGCAGCCTCCCAGTGGCAACATGGCTGGTAAATCCTCTCCCAGCCCAGCAACATGGCTGGGCTGGGAGAGGATTTACCCTCTAAATCAGTTCCTGGAGATTGGTGGAAAACACATGAATTGAATTATTATTATTATTATTATTATTATTATTATTTATTATTATTTTTTAATATTTTGTTTTT